TGTGTGTGTGTGTGTGTGTGTGTGTGTGTGTGTGTGTGTGTGTGTGTTGCATAGAGTCAAAAATCAATCAAGTGTGTGAAGACAGATGTCATCAGATGGGCTACTTATTGCAGTTATTTTACCCGCTGCTGCACCACCACTATCGGGCATGTTGTTTAGGGGAAGAAGCGCATCCCACAGCCTGTTTATGTGGGCTCTGCCACAGCTTGTAAAACACTGTCTTGACGTAGGAGATTTACGCTCTGCATCTCCTCCTGGTTCTATTTAACATCCTTTTCCTCTTATCACTGCTCCTGATCTTCTTATGGGCGTGGCTGGCTGATACATGCTGGAGGAACCGGCATGTCGGAGTTTGTGATTTAATGACTACGGATGACCGGGGGGTTCTGCTCTATCCTTGTGCGGCGGGAAGCTGACGCTGAAGGCTATCCACCATTTAAAGAGTCATTCTCATGCGTGTCAGCAGGACTTGGGTAATAACTGCTAAGTGTGTGTACCTACCACAGATTGCTTGGTGAGACAATGGTACCAGTCAAGACCACACAAAATGTGTTGTGGTTTATTCTGCTACTTGCATTGTAGTGTACCTGATGTGTTGCAGTGTATACGGTTTGATTTAATGCATTGATCTGTGTTCTACAGTTCTTACATACCAGACACACCTTTTTCACATATGATGTAAACAAAAACCAGAATCACAAGTTTGTTAGTTTTCAGTTGCATTGTGGTTGAAATCATTAGAATGACAACACACGGTGATCTGAATCAAGATGTGAAGATTGACTTCTAGAGTTCGTTTCCTCAGATTCACCAACACATGGAAAGTCCATCACAGAGTCTCACTGTTTCTCTTCATTACGTCAAATCTTTTCCTATTACTTGTGGTCACATCATCTCTGCCCCGTCTCTCCGGTTCCTCCTCTTCCGTTTTCCCCCCGCTGCGCCTCTTATTATTTTCCTCCAGCTGATAGCGTCCCGTAAATAGCGCAGCGTTGTAATTAAGGAGGATGGGCCCGTGGCAGATCAGGCAGCTCATCAGCCACACAGACGAGGGGGCTGTGCTGAGGCTGCACTAGGACCAGTTTGTCAGCTATAATTGGCACCAAAGATTGGTGTAATGAGGACAAGATGTGTGCATGCAGGGATCAAGCGGGTACAGAGAGTCTGTTTTTCACCGGGCACTAACCGTCAGGCTACTCTAGGCCCGCTGCTGCTGCTGCTGCTGTGTGATCAGTCTGTCCTCGGTTTCTTGGCTCCTCCTGCAAACTGAAGCGTGGGAAATAGTTGACCTTTCTGCAAAGGCATGTGACAATCTTAAATAATTAGAATTTAAAAAAAGATAGATGTCACAACCGAATCAAATACTAACATTTCTGCTCATATTAGGGGGCAATGGACAGCATCTGGGTTCCTGTGGTTTTCTCTTTACTCAGTCTTACTCATTATTGCTTCAGGAGCCGGCCCTAAAAGCTCACGCTGAACTGCACAAAGATAATAACGACAGTAATTGACTAGTCCTCGTAGGAAGATGCCACTCAATCTGAGTGCTCTTATCCAACACATGTGCTAACCTCTTCAGAAGTTGGCCCGCTTCGGCTTCTAGTTTGTAGGACCAAAGGGCTTCAGGGTCTTCCAGCATCAATTAAGGCTTGCGTGTTACGGCATCGATGGGAGTAATCATGTATTATTTAACAAAACGGCACCGGAGGCGCAGTGGAGACAAGACGTCGAGGAGGAGGAGGAGGAGGAGGAGGAGGAGGAATAATTAACTAGAATATAGAAAAGTACGTGTCAACTAGATCCTTAACAGAGCTGATGACATGCAACAATAGCCGCTCTCCATCAGAACAGCATCAATGATGACAGGTCGTACTTGTCGAACAGCATCAGCCGGCCAGATGTTTTGGTCCTGACAAAGTCAAACGTCTGCTGTGTCTCCGGCAGATGTGGAGATGTGTTTATCTTATCAGCTGGCTTCAGGTGACGATGAACATGAGAAGTGGAGTGAGTGTGAACCGAGGACACGGCGTTAGCACTTAAAGGACTGTAAGAAATAATGCAGACTTGTTCACTGTGGTGGATTGTGTTTATAATTGATTTGTTTTCAATATCATGGATTTTATTGTAATTGAATATTTGGAAGTTTATGGAAACCAATCGCTGCTTGGAGTGTTCGTGAAAGAAATCCTCCCTGAACTCTTTAGGAAACGGTCAGCAAAGAAATGCATAAAATTGTAGTCGAAGAACTAAAACTGTTTATCACACTGGTACAGACCAATGGTTGAAGATACATTTGAACTTGAGCTTTCGTTTCCTTTCTTGCAACGACTTCACCAAAAAGTCTTTTGGAGAAATTTGGACAAAGCCCTGAGAGTGTGATGGAGAGCACAGAGAAAAGAAAAAGGGAGAAGGAGACATGGAGGCTTAAAAGGGGAAGTAAGCGGAGGCCAACAGTAAGCATACTCTACGTGTTTGGCTCCGGTCCACAGCCCCAACATGTCAGTTTCGATTCGTAGGAAGGCTCTGTGTGCCAAGCCGCATGACTACAAATCTAAAAAGGATTTCTAGTCTCTCAAAGCCCTCTCAATCAACCAGGTTCTCATTTACTGGAACAATCAGAAAAAGAAGCTGATGTTGACCAAGAGAGAGAAGAAAGGACTTGTGACATTTCGGAGCTCTCTGAGCCATGTCAGCTCCAGAGGGTTCACTGGAGGCTGGATGTCTCCGCTCTGGTACCGTGGACAACAGGCGTTCAGCCCAATGTGCCGAAGCTGACCGTCTCGGAGACTCACCGGAGTTGCTAAAAATGTGAGAGCGTGCAGAACGCGGGCATGACTGATTAAGACCGGTGTAAAAGATTACGTCGGTGTGTCTGAGCTCGGATATTCGGGGGGATGTGTGTGTGTGCAAAGTCCTTTAGCATGAAACGCATATGAGCGTGCGCTTTATTTGAGGCTTCAGCCCCCTCTGGTTCTCCACGGAAAGTTTCCCCGCTTCCCTTCTTTCTCCAGAGGAGCAGAGATCTAATGAAAACCACCCTGTCATTAACCGGTCCCCAGAAGGACCACTGAATGGTTAACATTCCAAGCAGTGACCTAGAGTTAACTAAAACCTCACATGACATTACAATACTCACAAGTATTGTTTAGTTTTTCCACTTTGGTTCTCTGAACCCCCCCCCCCAGCCTTCTCCGATGTGTTACAGACAATGGCACTCTGTTTGTGCATGTTATTGTAACATTTTTTTTAAAGTTTGAATAAAGGTGGACTAATAGTAGGCTGCAACTCGGGACACATTCATCTTGCTCCCTGGCAGCGGGCCGGAGAATAGTTTGGAATTGTTGTGCGGGTAATTCACTGTGGAGTGTGTGCCGAGGTGGTTAGAGTCCATTAACAACATGTCAGACGGACACGAAGCAGAGGATCCGCTCAGGTGTTGATTTGATCCACACAATACAATCCGTCTTTTTATTTAATTTAAATGCAGACCACATTTCACCCCCAGTGCTTTCATGTCAGACCGTTACCCTTTGTGCCATTATTTCAATGGGACCATCATTCCTTTATTCAGACTTTGGTTCTCTGGGCCAAGCACGACAGGATAAAGATGATTGGTACCGGGAGTAAGAATTTTGAATTTCACATTGCCAAGATCTGTGCTTGAGTGGATGATTCGTTCTCTTTGGGTCCTAATCAACATTTTCCACTCTACATAACTCCGGGGGTTCTTCTGTTGTTCTCCTAGATCAAGAAAGCGTATCGACAGAAAGCCTTGACATGCCATCCGGACAAGAATCCAGACAACCCAAAAGCAGGTGAGTGAGCGCGTTGGTGTGTTCACCTGTGTTCGTCTGTCTTCACCGTCTCTCCATTCTGAGCCACTGACCGTCAGTCTCCCAGATGTGTTATTTGCTTATGCAATCGCTGCGTTGTTTTTCTGAAGAATTGGCGTTAATCGTCTGACTGAGTGAGCGGCCATCGTGCTCCAAAACCAAAAATGAATGCTCTCGAGTAAGAGCTCTCAGCAAGTTGTAGCCTGCCAGACGGCCAAGCCGCAGAAGTTCTGTAGGACGTCTAACCAGCGGCCGTCTCTGCTGCCGGCTTTCTAGCCAGACATGACCAGCCAAACACCAGCAGCACCACCGCCACCAGCCTCTCCACACTCCATCCCTCTTTGGCTCGAGTCCTTCTGCGGCCTGTTGCCAACCAGCATGTCAACAATTAGAGCAGGAAATCCCAATGTAGCTTTTTTTTTTTTTGTCAGGAGGGTAAAAAAGAAAAGAAGAAGAAAAAAAGGCACCTTGGACAAAAGACTGGTCATGAGGCGTGTTTTCAAGTGAGGTTTATGTGGTTTCTGGATAGTTCAGACAATTTCTGATTATGTCAAGAAAAAAAGAAACTGTGAAATTGGTTTGGTTGGGTTGAGAGGGATAATGCAGAGGCAGGGGGTCGGTTTCCCTGAAATGGAAAAGAAGTGGTTTGGAGGGCCTCAACACTTGAACCCACACATGGACAGACTCTGTCTCTATCGCACGAGAGCCGAGCAAGTCTTGGGATTTGCTGCTCCTCGGGGGAAGGTTGTACTCATGTAAGAGGTGACTGGGGGGTCATGATTCCTCACTGACTGAAGGACCCCCCCCCCCCATATTTCCTCACTTTCCTTAACTCCCCCATGTTGTGACACACTGCACACTGAGCTGCCTAGTGGGCATGGCAGGTCTCCCCCCCAGTTGGATTTCATTCCAGCCCATTATGTGCGTGTAGGTAACCAGCATGCTCTCCAGAGCCTCCTGTTAGTCCCCACAGGGAGTAACAGTATCGGTCCGGTAGGCCTCCCATCAGTGAATGATTAGGCCTGTCTAGAATGGTGCAGTAGTGCGGCGGTTATATGATGGAGACTGGGCTTGTGGTCTCCGTGTGTGTGTGTGTGTGTGTGTGTGTGTGTGTGTGTGTGTGTGTGTG